TTACAAGCAGTTATTTAATCAACAAGATATAACAATAAAACTTAGGACTCACCTACCCCATTGACAGCTGGATTTAGTAAATCACCATGAAGCATTTCACAATCTTTCAGTCACCCAAAAACAAAAAAGTATGGTAACAATATGACAGTAAAAATTCATAAAATTAAAACATTTAGATTAGATCAACCGATTTTGCATATACGTATGTATACAAACGTTTTATAAAACGTATAGACAGTGCTGTAGTGAAGAGTATACGCCGTATACCTTCTGATTAAGGTCGTATACTCTCTGTTGTAGTGAAATCATCAAATAATATAAAGATAAATGTCATTAGATTATTATTGATTTATTATTTTTGATAGAAAAACTAAAAATAAACGGTGAAAAACGTGTATTGTTAAAATAGTTTTATGATCAAATTGAAGGCATGCCTGCACGAGATAGCACGTTTTTTAAATTTCTATCCTCGAATATGTCCCCGATCGATTTCCAAAGTCCTTGCTCTCCAAAGACGACGTCCTTTCCTCTCTTAATTCACAAGTACACTTAAACATTATTCATTTATTATGACATATACTTTTACGCCTTATGCATGTAGCACATTTAGTATTATATATACACCTAACTACAACAGTATAAACCAGGAGTAGTTGCAGGAACAGGAGCAGAAAAGAGCAGTCGCTGTGAAATATGGCGGCTAAAAGCTGTGGTTGGGTGTTCAGCGGCGGCAGTGATTTAATAATATAAACGATATAATAATGGCGGCTATAACGGTCGGGGGTAGAGGTTTTAGGGGTAGTTCGTCTGCCACATCCACCCACCACCACTGCCGAACATGTATATAGTAATACAAACGAGGTATAATATATTTATACACGACCGAGCTGATACGTGTGTGCGTATGTGTGTATGTGTACTGCACGTGGTAGTTACAACGTAATATTCTTGTATATACTCTCATATATATATATAATGCATACACATTGAGTGTGTGTATATATATATAATATTTTCGTCGTGTTTAATATTGAATAGAAAATAATAAAAATAAAATAAAACACGTGCATGCACCGAAAAGTGAAAAAAAAGTCCCCTCGAAGTTGTAGGAAGAAAAAAAATGAAAGAATGAAAAACCGAGGTCTTTTCCCGCAGACAGCCACTTAAAAACGGCAAAACGTCTTCTTTATACGAACGTTTCGGAAGAAATTGCCTCGTTTCACCCCCCTCCCCCCATACCACTCGGACTCGCGCACGCTTCGTTCAGTACCAACATGTATAGCTGCACTTTAGAACTACATATTTATACACTTGTGTATATTCCTGAAACAGCAGACATCCCCCTGGCCCGGAGCCGACCGTCGTGACTTTTTCTCCCGCCCCGGCCACGCTCCTCCGTCAACGGAGGCGGAAACGCGTAAACTTTTGTGCGGCGTAATGACAAATTGAAATTGCTTTTTATTGCGATGCAGGTACTAGCGATTTGCAGGACGACTGTCGGCGACGACGCGAAATACGTTTCATTATAATGTACATACATACATACAAATGCGTGTACTTTTCTCCCTTTGATCCGGTGCACGTAAATTTGCACGATAAGTCCTCTTGTAGGCGTGGAGAAGTTTTCATCGGGAGCGGACTGGGCCGCTGCAATACCGTGTGTGCATCCGTGCCGTGTTATTTCCCGAGGGCCGGTACAAAATAAACCGTCGTATATCGTATTGTTGAAAGAAAATATTTATTTTTTTATGTATTTAGGATGTAGACCTAAGTACTATTTCGATATATTACTTATATTAGATGCGATCATACGAACCTTTGAATATCTGTGTATTACGTGATATGCAGATATATTCAAGGTTTCTGCACTCATTATCGCGGCTTCATCGATGAATATATTGTGATGTTCAGTCGCGGTTTTTCAGCTAGACCATAAAATTACATAAAGATAAAGATTATATTTTATATTATTAATATTATTATGATTTTCACTATCATTTTTATTTTTATTATTATTAAAAATTAGAAAAGTATTTAAAAATGTTTTTGTTTTATTTCTAGTTTTCGGTTTATGTGTAAACAAAGCTGTTTTTTTTTTAGAAAAGTAAACCGATTGGATCCCAGCCCGATTCGAAAACTTTCTTTTAATACTTTTGTTATTCGACAACGAGCGCACACGGCTTTGCACAGCATTTATTTTTTCACCGGGCTTATATAACATACACTTTCAATGGCGTATTTGATTTAATTTTATGGGGGGGGAGTACTAAATTTACGAGCATTATATACTAGTTAAGTACAATATTTTTTTTTTATATATATGCTTATGTTCTTGAATATATCCTGTTGGTCCATTTTATACTTGCATCTTTTTTTACACATTGCACATCTTAAGAAAGGTAAATAAAATACTATAAGGTTAAAATTTAAAATTTATAATGTACACAAATAATTTTCGATCGTCCTCATCGCCCCCCTCTAAAATACGTCACTATACACTCTACACAGTCGGAAAGGTTTTTATTCGTTTTGGCTTCGTATACCCGTACATGTATTTGACGCACAACCGTGCACAAATGACAATACGAATTCCGTCGGAATGAACTAAGTGTACGTCTTTTCGATGCGCAAATCATTACGTAGTGATCCCCATCTGGCAGTTATCGCGGATTGTGTACTGCACCGACCGCTGTTGGTGTTTTTTAATACAACATAGTATAGGTGATCCTTGTTCTATTTCCATCTCATCGTAAGAAATAAATCAAAAAGTTTCTACCGCGGAGGTATATAACAACCACCCAAAGTCGTCATACACTCAAACTTTGGTCATTTACATAGTGGATTATATACCTATATTATGACGACAATTGTTGTTGCAAAGTTGTACTCCAGTGAATACTGTGGCGAGTTAAATTCGGTCGTAAATAATTAGTCCTACAAATAGGTTCGCCTAATCTGCGGATTTGGTACTTTATTTTTAAGTTTTACTTATTGTCTCGTTTTCCCTTCTAAGTAGGTATTTAGTCCAAACTATTATAGCATATATTTTGGTTGTTACATAAATTACACAGTGTTCAACTTTATCACATTATCACCTTTATGAGCGTATTAAAAATACAAAAAGAAAAATACAAAATCACGAGAATTGTTTTAAAATGCACCGCACGAATTAGAATAAATATAAAAGCCAAATTAATCGATAGGAATTAAATTTTATTTTTTAAATACGAGCATTTTAAGAGTAGCTACAACTTACCGATGTGTAATTGGATATAATTTTAAACAAAAGTTAGAGGAGAAACATCCGATTTCAATTGTATTAGAAAAACATTGAATACTTTGCATTTGCAAGTCCAATTATGATTTAGATAAAAAAAAAATTCCTTCGTTGTCTCTCGCTTTATTTATTATAATATTTTTATATATTATGTCCTTTGTTTATTTTCCAAGCCGTTTCTCTCACCGTTCATTTTTTTAACGCTTATATGATAAACATTATCGACCATATGATTTCTTTGAACCAGAATCAATGACGAACTTCCATTTTAATAATTGTGATTAAGTTTATTATGTACATTCCAAAAAAATAATACTAGCTGTAACTTTTCGACGACGTACCAATGTCAAACTCACACTGTTCACCGCCAACAAATCTTTTTAAATCTGTTCAACTGATCTTAAGCTATTATTTTTATTAATAAAATAATTTTTAATAGGCATTGGTTATATCAACCACAACCATATGAAGCCAGAATACGGCATACAATTTCGTTAACTTATTGGCAGAGTGTATTGTCAACTGTCGGTTAGCCTATGACTGTATTTATACATAAACAATGTCCGTTGTATGTTATTATGATATATTAAGTATCGTGTTTCGATAAACCCGCCATTGTGTTTAAAATTAAAAATAAATTAAAATAAAAAATACGTTTGTTTATTACAGCATAAAATATTAGAAAAAAGCCGTATCGAATATAACAATAGAAGTTTGAATTACATGAGTCATTTGATGTATATTGTATATATAAATTTAAATGAATAAAAAATAAATAAATATTTAATATTAGTAAAAAAATACATTTTAGTAACTATAGTATTTTAATTTAAGAGTTCATTTTACTTTTTATTTTTGAAAGGCTTTTTTTGGTAAATTTCTTGTACCACCAGTAGTTTTCAAACATTCTTTTTGGACGTTTTTCTTTTAGTTTATTTATATTTACCTATTTTGTTTACACTTAAGTTAGTGAAATCTTGGTAATAATTCATGCCCACGTGTATGACATAAAAATACTTCAGTAGTTGAATAAACGAAAGTATTTTTGTAAATATATAGCTTTAAATTTATTTCAAACTTTTAGATCATTTTTTACATCGTTGTTTTTTTTTCGTAAATATTTATCTTTAAAATTTTAAATCACCTAGTTTCATTTTTAAAGTTATTTAACAATTCATTATGCATAAGTTTTTGAATAAAATAAATTTATATTATATTCATACTTCAAACTATATAATAAACTTTTTAAATAATTGTAACATTTGTAACAATATGTGGAAATAAATAAATGTTATTGCAACAAATCATAAAAATCTAACGTAGTTATATAATATTTGTCAGTATATATATTGATATTTAATTTATGTAAAAAAATTATTTCGTACAAGCTTGTTGAATTACTTATTATGTGATTATCACGGTGGGTATTAATAGTAATATTATAATTATTTTATTATTTATTATTAATATTTTGGCAATTTTTGAACATATTACTTGTAGGATTATCATCATCAGCTTCTAAAGGCTTCTCTATTGTAGGATGTAGGTAGAGAAATATTTTTACAAAAAATGATAAACGTATACTAAGCGTTTAAATTGAAAACTTTATTAATGATTTTTAATAACACCAATAATATAAAATGTGCACTTAACTTATTTTTTTTTATAAGTTAAACACGTTTATAGTTTATTTACAACATAAAATATATTTACATTTCATCAACATTGGTAATATATTATAATTAATAATAAACGGAACATCTAACCTATATTATATTCTAATGCGCTATTTATTTAACGATCATGTACACTCAACACATCAGCTGAAGTGTAATAAACCTCCAATCATTTGAAAAGTAAAAATATACACAATGTTCTCGAACACTGGTTTCAGATTTCGATTTGCGACCGTTGTTACTTGTAAAACGATTTCAACAAACTTACATGACTACAGGTAGCATATTACAGTATTAAGTTATATAATCATATTATTGTTTAGGGCCCGGGGCAAACGTTTAAAAATATTTTTCTCGAACATCGTATCCCGCATAATACGTGGTGTAGTCGTCTTGTAAAATTATATCGTATGAGCAACGCACTACATGTCAATTTATATAAGTATATATAATATTTACGACATGCGTTTAGACCACGCGGATCGTTGAATTCTGATGATAAACACAGTAGTGAAACTACGTTTGTTAATTTTTCGTAACGTTTATGAGTAATATGAACAATTATTGGTTTCCGCTTCCGAGTCCTCGTCTTCATCGCATTCTTGAACCATGTCCTGCGTGCTCCTTTGATGTATATTAGCCAACCTCTGTTGCTGTATTTCCAGGTGTTGTTTTCGCCATTTTATTCTACGGTTTTGAAACCAAACTTTAACCTAAATAAAATAAATAAACCCCGGGTATAATTTTTATATCATAACGTTTGAATTAATTGATCGAAAACCTCTACTCGTTACGTACATAATTAATATGACACAAAAAAATAATTTACGAGACAACATTTAGCAAGCAAAATATAATAGAAATACTTATGTTGTTTTATAATTTTATCATCGGATAAGATATAATGTAGTAAAACACACTCACTTGTGCTTCGGTCAATTGTAATGTGTGAGCCAAGTATAGTCTTTCGGGACCAACCATGTATTGTTGACGTTCAAATTCCATCTCTAACCTTTCCAACTGTTCCGGAGTGAATATTGTTCGTACTCTTTTTGATTTGCCCGAACAGCCGTGTTTTTTACTGGAACCATCGATTTTGTCTGAAATTGAATAATAAACAACTTTTTAATCAAAGTTTATTTTATAAACGTCAATGGCTAAAGTATAATTTTGATTTATTGTGAAGCGTACGACTAATATTGAAAACCGGCCGCATATCCAACAAATTTTTATTTTAAAATATTGTTCACTGGGGTGAAAAGAAAAAATAACATTATTTTTTTGAATTTATTATGAACCGAAATAATAAATATATTATTAATCCAATAGTATAATCATAATCGTATTTCATTGTGAATTTACCGCGTATAACATCAAGTGGGCGTGCGCGTAATTAATGGGCAAGTGATTTTTATTTCACGAACATATTATTTTCATGTCTGACTAGCGACAATAATTATTATTATTATTATTATTGCAACGGATATGTATTTTCACCCTTCCGGTGTAATGATACGACTGTTATTGTAATCAAACAATCGAATTAGCATGACAGGAGTCACCCGACACTAGTATAATAATCGATAAATATGCTCTTCAACATCGAGCCGCTGAAGCATTAATAATAAATACGTAACAATAATTAGAACAATAATTTGTCCTGCCAAAACCACTGGACCCGTCGGCCGCAAATGAATAAATTCACACTTGCTGCATGTGTGGAAAAAAAAAAACCACAACGATCCTTGCGCTCATAATAACCGGTCTTGCCGTGATTTATGGCGATGGGGAACGTATTAAAAAAATAAAACATAAAAATTTGCAAAGGGCACCGAGTAGTCGACCCTCTGGCGAAAGGGGTGCGTAAACCACCGTTGTCCTGCTGCGGGGGTATTATTTTTGTCGGTACACGCCGGGGGTGGCGGACGGGCCGCGCGCCATACGCTTTTGTCTGAATAAAAACGCGCCCTCTGAGAAAACCAATACAAAACGCATCACGACAATTATCAAGCTCTAAACGAGTCCTGTTCCCGGTGCGCGGTGCTGATTTTCGAGTCGCGCCCGGAAATATCGGGATTTCGATTCCGCCGTGCGGGTTGTGGTTGCGCCACGACAGCGTTCGAAGGCAAGTAGAAAGATTGATCGAGCGACCCGTCACCGGAATGCAGTAGTAACAGCGCGGTAACGTTGTAATGACGTACAGTTATTGGCTTCGAGTCGGGAGAAAAATGGAATGGAAAAAAAAAAAACGAATAACACGAAACCGGATGGTCGAAAAACGACAGCGTTCACCAGACCGTTATTATTGATGACGGGCGGCCGTTTTGTTCGCCAGGACAAACCGTAGCGGCGCTCGACCTCTGCGCGGACGCGTTTTTGTGCAGTAGATTTTCGGCCGGGACGAGGCGCGCCGGGAATATTATTACGAAAATTATTATGACATAATTACACCCTGTGCGCCCCGGGACAACATCGTCGAGGCAGCTCCATTATTGTTGTCAACGTGTGTGCACGTGCTGCGAGTGTGCGCGAGTTTTGTGTGTTTATAAGTGCTTGTGTATACGCGACGTCAAGAGTAATTAACAACTTTGCGCTAAACACCGCCGCCCGCCACCACCACCATACCGCGCGACTTTGTCCTTTAAGTTTACGACCCCGGGGCGGAACATATACAACACGGCCGGGTGGGATGTACAATAGACCGGAAACGGGATCGTGGGCGGCGGAGGAGTAAAAACGAAAATGACGATATGTACGCGACACAGATTCCTGGCCGCCCGCGTTCTTTGCGCCCGAGACATCACGTCGAAAAGTTGTTTACACAATATTATCATAACGCTGTGTAATATGTACATATACATATTTACACGCGTATTTTGTGCGAAACTTTTATGCGAGCGAAGTGTATGCAAACGTGTGTGCGTGCACGTACAAATAATGAGATTATCCGTCAAAAATCTTATGAAAATTTACATATGGGATGGTGACAAAGTTAGCAGTATAACGTGCGGTAAACGTGTTTCATAAAAATGTTTTTCGTATATTATTATAATATGTATTTCTATAAACGTTTGGATCGTATGAACTTATGATAAAATGAGCTCAAAGCGACAATCGGGGTGAGAGGGGAATAAGGAAGTTGAGACTTTTTTTTAACATTTTATACCTAGTAAAACTTCTTCATCGTCTAACTGTAGATATGAATACGCATCGGACGAAGAATCACTAAGTTTTTCTACGGAGATAAAGCCGAATAAATTATTAAATTGTATTAGAACGAAATCCGTGGTGAAAAATTCGACTGAAAAATAAAATTACTATAAGCATTCACTTTTGTTGGTTATTATATGGTGTTAAAACTTATTTAAATAAATATATAAATAAATAAATCAATAGTTTATGTATATAAATAAATAAATGCTTAGTTTGAAATATTATTTTATTTGTAAATTACGATTGGTTTCGAATTAAAAATTCATCGTCAGGTATATACAGTCAATAAAATTGCGACTAAATATGAAAAAATAAAGAAAGGAATACCTTGAAAAAACTTGATAATTTTACATTAAGATAATCTATTTTAATAGAAAAGATTATTTGAATGAATTCTTATTAGACTTAGATATATAAAAAAATATAAACTGTTTATTAATTTATTAATTTAGGAGTGTTAATAACTTTTAATTTTTGTTTTATTATTTTATTAATTATAAATACTTTGGTTAGTATTATTATCTAAAATATATCGATGTTAGATGTTTTTAATATTGGTTTGTATATTTAAAATATTATTAAAATTATTTTTCTATATTTCATTGTGTATGTATAACTTGTCCATAACTGAATTTATGTAAATGTTATTTTGGGTATTTAATATTTCTAAGTCTGTATTGATATTAAAATTTATATTATGTTTATTTTCTAAAATCTGTTTAACAACATTTGTATTAGGGGCAGTCTTTTTTTATTTTATTTCAGAAATGTGTTCATAATATCTTATTTTAAAATTTCCATTTGTTTTACATGTACTCGTATAATATGTATTACAATTTATTTTAAGTTTATGTATATATACCAGCATTTTCAAAAGGAAGGGGATTTTTTCGTGCATATTTTAGTTATATTATTTATGTGTCATGGCATATTAAATTTAAATAATTATTATTTTAAAGACGATTATTTGTATTATTGTTTAGAATTTTAGCAAGTTTATTAGATATATTATTTTGATATTTCATACTACAGTAGTTGATAACATAATTTGGTGAATTGTGTTTTATTTTTTCTTTAATATGCTTATGAATTGATTTGATAATTTAGCTATTTTAATGGATTACAAGTTTAAGTCTATAAAATACTGAATTTAAAAATAATTTTTTTTGAATATATGGATGATTACAATTAATAATATTCTAATTTTAATTCTAAATATTTTATAGACTTTGTATGTACCTGACGACAAATTTTTAATTAAAAACCGGTTGTACTTTATAAATATAATTATACTCCAGGCTAAGCCTTTATTTATATAATATTTTATGAGTATTAACCATTTACTGATTTTCAGTTTTATTTTAATTTTTTATTATTTTACTATTTATTTAAATAATTGTTACATTTTCCTAGATATTGAGTATAATAATTATAAAACGGAAAAATCTCCAGTAGGTATTTATAAATACAGAATCATTGTTGTCAAAAAACTTCCTAGTATGATAAACACTTGGGGTCGATTTAAAACAAACCACCCTCCTGTTCGTTTGAAAAACAGGTGTCTTTGTCAAGCGACAAGGATAATTTTATGTAAAAGGGCGTGTAACTCCTTCCCTCGTACTCGATTCGCTTTGCTCTCCTGGCTTTTTGTCCCCAACTTTTGTTAACTATAATTGATTACAACTAATCGAAATTCTAAAACCGCAAAAATTAAAACTATTATTTAAATTGCAAAACATGTGTTAACGATGTAATTTATTTTACATAGGGAAATTTATTATTTAAAATATTATACAAAACTTTTAAATCCAATTTATTATGAACCAAGTAAATTAATTAATACAAACGGTCATTTTCTATTACTTGATTATATATTTATTAAGAAAGCTATTCAATTGAACTAAAGTATACAGTTTTTACTATGTGTGTATTTTAAATATTTAGTTTGTTTTCAAATATAAAAATTCCCTGAATACACTTTTTTTTTTTTTTAACGTTTTCTGTATTATTTAGGTATGATTTTTTTTTCATATTATTTAAAATAATATTTGGTTATTAATATTTTATTAATTATTAATTAAAACGTTTAATGTAATGTTTAGGAACAATAGCAGAAGTACAGATAGCTTATGAGCTTTAAGCCTTTGATATATTTTTACATAAAATATGTTCACACTCATGTGCATGAATACAAGAGATGTGCTATACATTATATTCTTTAATGCTAATAAAATAACACAAACATATAATAATGTGCCATTAAATTAAGATGGTTGTGGGTAAATTTTCGTTCTGTAACGAAGTAGTTAATGGTATTCGGTCGACAGGAATTTCTGAACATTTTGTGGTGTCCTTTGGAATGGAGACGCGGTATTTCGAGTCATCATTCCAGATTTACCTATCCCATGAGTTTAACGCCATCAGATTAAAATTATAACGTCATTTAGTTTTTGATTAAATATAAACGCGGTTAAACCTCAAACGCCCAATGCTTAAGATATGTAAAACTAAATATTGTAATCATACTCGTACATATGAAATGAATAAAAAAAGATTAAAATAAAACGTTTTTAAATTACTTAAATTATAATAAATTTTTATATAGTTGATTCACACATTATATTATATTATAATATATATTATTACCGACATAACAAAGTTGCGGATACAATTAAAGTCCATGGTATTTCTTTTTTTTTTTTATTTTTTTTTTTTTTTGAATTAGCAGCTTATCATATATAATTGTAAAATTAATAAAACAGAAATTTAACAATTAATATGTATCATATGAGTTTATAATAATTATTTATTATAAGTTATTTATTTTCTAAATGCAAGATAGCACAAGAATAAAATTTTCTCGTCGTCTGAAGGTAAAAAACGTTAACACCGTAAATGATTAAGTTAATAAGACACTGAAAATAAATCGATTATCCGTAAAAAATCTAAGTAATTTCAATGATAATATAATTGATACAGATACTTGCTTTATACTTTTAAATACTGTTCTACAACAGACAGTTTTCGTGAATCGGCTAAATCAGTTATAACAAAGAACAAGTTATATACACCTAACAGTAGACGGCGCTCGTAATACAAATAGTACTTTTCTTACTTTGATAAGTGTTTCGTTTTGAGATGGGCCCTGACAATTAATCTATAATTAATTAGTATGTATCAAATACGGACTAAAGAATGTGACTATTTTTTAAAAACTGTTGCTATTAATTTATAATTAGTTGCAGATAAAATTAAATGGCCATTACTAATCGAATTTAATTGAAATCTTTATTTCGTTTTGTTTGTAATTAGCTAAATGGTTGTAAAAAAAATTAAAAAAAAAGACACAATTATTTGTCATCAGATGTGAATGTAACAAATGAACCTAACATTATTATAGAAATATTTATGATCAATAATGTACGTGTTTAATTCACAGTGTAGGTACTTAAATTATCAAAATAAAAAGAATAGAAATCAATAGAGATATAATCGAATGTCATCGATGTTATTGAATACAGTTTATGTACAACCATTTCATCTTCTAATCAAACTTAAAATATCACTATTTAACTTATTTTACCATAATGACGTTCAAAAAATATTTATTATGTACCTAGATCAAATGTAGTTTATTACTTTTAAATTATAAACATTATTCATTTTTAACACGATTACTAAGTGTTAATTTTTCAAACATAATATACCTATAGTGCCTCTTAAATTTATTTTAATCAGCATTTTCTCAAGTGTAATTTAAATTATAGAGCTTGTGAAATATATATTGATGTCAAAATTATTAACACGTTGTCTTTTTATAAACTAAAAAACATTACTTTTTAAATTTTAAGTTGTTATAAAAATAAAATATAAATTTAGAATCAAACGATTTGTTTAATTCTCCGATAATAAACGCTTAAAAAACAACTTCCTAACTATTACATGAATTGAGATCACTTTGTACTCTTTTATATACATGTGTGTTTTGTGTTTCCACATTGATACTTATCCCTCTCCCTTTTTTATTATTATAGTTGAAGGGGTAAATAACAAAAAGAGATTGAATAATGGGTGAGTTTAAAGAGGATGAACGTAGTATGATAAAAGTACAATACTTCATAACATACATCATATTATTATTGCTCACAGCAAATATTCTTCAACGTCATGTATAATTATTAAAAAAATATGAGTTGTAAATTTTTAAATTCATAATATAATATCAAAATAACAATACTGGTAATGCATATAATACAAAATTGTATGAGAAATCATAATTATAAAATCGTATATTTGAAGAATGTATAATAAATATACCTTCTTTAAATATTGTAAAACTTCATAATACTACATTTAAATTGAATTACTACTTATTAATTCTGATGATTCATAAATTTTTATTTATTCTTAGTCTTCAATCGAATCATGTTAAAATATAATATAGAAATGTATTATATACACAGCACGTATACTTAGCACAATATATAAGCACTTTTTTTTTAAAATCTTAAAATATTCTACTCGTAATTTAATTGTATTAAAAAATTATTAACTATTTGTATCCAATTATTTTATTATTTTATTTTTATATCCTATTAAATTGTGGTTAAAAAATAAATAATAAATTGATATGCCTTTTATATAAGTTAAAATTAAAATTTGGATGCATGAATTTTTTATTGGACTATTATAATTTATTTAAATTTTATAGTGCAATCTATACGTGCATGATGCATGAATATATATATGTACAAAGAACCTGTATATATTAAAAATAATTAAACTACTTATGAATATAAAATTGGTAAAGCCAGCTTGAAAAATAGACCGATGTTTTAGTACAAATATTTAAAGAAAATAACAAAATTCATTAGATTTAATATATTTATTTATTAGTGATTAGAGATGCTTAATTCGTTTTTTTATGAATAAAATGCATACATATATGTCTTTAAACTCTTGTATTCTTGGTTTAAATTAGATATTCGTAACTAAAAGAATACAATTAATTTCTACTTATAATTTGTAATTAGTTGTCCATTGTAATTAGTACGTTCATAAGCAAATTAATTCCATGAAATTATGTTCATCGGGTTTCTTTTATTTCACTTAAATAAATTATTGGTAGTAAACAGTATTTATATGTATTTTTTATTATATATATATATATACAATTGAATACATTTTATTGCTTATTAGTTTATATGTAATTATTATATATGTGTAATTAGATAATTACATCTATAAGCTAATTTGCCGTATATTTTTATTATTTAAAACATTTTAATTTGTTTCTCATTTATCTTTATGTTTATAGTATAATGTATGTTAAACACATGTTTTAGCTTAGGACAATGTAGGTATCGTGGCTGTCATTATAATCGATTAGCAGCTTACATTCTAGATAATGTTAATAAAACTGATATAGTATGCACCTTTACTTTAACCACAACATGTAAAACGAACAAATTTTTGGTTTATAACCAATGGAAATATGTAGAAATTATTCACATTGTGTATTATTGACACGAAAATTATCATATTCTAGGCATATGTTATTAGATGTATATATATATATATATATATATATGATATGGCATATTTTTTTGGTACTAATGAACGAGTTTACCGGACAGACACAGTACGCTTTATTGAATAAGTCGCTTTGTTAATAAATCGATTACGAACAAAATACAGAAACAGTGAATTTTTAGCCCATTCTCGTGTCGGAAACATTAAATAATTAATTACGTGCCATATATATTCGTGATTAAAAATATATTTCATGTCTGTTTTTTGTTTGACTTATATATTCAATTATTGTAAACATCATAATACTTTCAGTTACTATAGACAAATTATTAATTATATTATTATATGCATACGTAGTATAGTGTATCTACAATAACATTTATACAGATCTATCTTATAATAATTATAATAATAATAGTTTTGGGTTTAAATTGTTTTATAATGAACGTTTATTTATCGTTAATACGTGAGGTATATATATATATTTTATGGTGAAGATCATACCTAAAAAAAATTTTAAATGCATTTTATAACACAGTTTATAAAAGAAATTATAAAATAGACCCCATGTTTATTTATATTGCATTTTTTTCTGTTCTTAACGCGTTTTGCGTACAATTTATATTTTAGCTCAATAGTTATACCAGTGTATTCCATATTCGCAAACAAAATAATAATTTATTCGGTCGTTAATTTATTGCGCCATAGACACTCGTTTGAAATCGGTACATTTGGACACGTACGTCGTTTTTATCGAATCCAATAGGGTTCTTTGGTTTACTTTTAACTTGTATTCAACCGTAGACAAATACGAAATACAATTTGCACATAAAAGAAAACTATAAATGAACATGAAATCGACAGAGAATTTAGTTACAGAATGAGCTAAAGCTTATTTAAAAATGTTTAAAAATGTTCATCATCACCTTTATGATTTACGTGTACGTGAACGATCATGATGTTGACCAAGATCACAAGACTATAGTATAACAACAAGGAAACTCTTGTACCGCGAGTACACTAAATAAATCGGTTCATAAAAAAACCTGTTGTAATAAAGATTTCTAGTAGGAAACGTGCGGTTAACCGATATTTACTACTGTTTAAACAACGCTACGTTAGAATCCTGTAGTGTACACAGTCCATCAGCCATCAACAACGTAACTAAATATAGTGCGACAAATATGTATGGATTTTATCGTAATTTACCACGTGTTTAATAACAAGTTTGGATCCGTCGTTTTAAATCGTTTTTTCTAACATATTTTGAAGCATCGTTTCTGTTGGACAGCATCTTGGAAAGAAATTTACATTTTAGTTGTTTACATAATATACGAATAGTTTTTCGAAAATTACAAACTTTCCAAACTACTAAATCATGTGATGCTGCTTTCCGCACCCATACCAAAAGTTGAATAAACCGACTTTGCGTAAAAAAAAAGTTTAAAACTCCCTCTATTAACGCCTATGTAACGGTCTCTTGTTTATATGACAGTAAAGTTGTTCTTGCGAAATTTATATCGTCCAAAACAGTTATAATTAACGCGTGAATTAGTCAGGTTAGTACGGTGTTAAAGAACCTAATTGTATGAAACCGTGTAAGAACTTAAGTGTACATAAGTGTATAGTCCGAACTCAGAAGTATCGAGGGAAGGGATTTATATCGTTTGAAAACAATGTTAATAAAAACAGTATGGGACTAAAAGAAATGAAGACCAAACAAACGAAATCAGATCCAACAGATAACTACAGGAATTATTTTGAAAACCAATTATAACAGCAGAAATACGACACAATGGACTGGGTCTGAACTGGACCTACCCTGAGAAGGAGATCGATTGAAAGATCATAGGTAGAGATGGATTGATGAGAGCACGAAGGAACTAAGACAACTAGGGATAGACAATGATAATGTATGAACTGTTTGTTTGAATAAAGTCTGTTTTGTAGCCGTGAGCTTTAATGGCCCTTGAAGTCGGAAAAAGATTGGTATATGTACTTTTTATGAAAAAAGTACAAATGCGTCTACGAGGTCGGCATTACACTCGAAAAGGACTCGCTGAAGTGTAAAAAACTAATAGTATATTTATTATTGGAACGATATAATAATGATGTGCGTGATTGACGGAAGCGCGCGGTGATGTGTACGTTATTTGATGACTGCGGAAGTAATTACCTTCTCTGTGCTTTTTGCCGTGTGTTGCGGCCGAACCGGTGGAAAAGTCAAGCGCGGTAACGGCCGAAGGGTCGACCGGGACCGCGGCCGCGGCGGCGGTAGCCACAGGAGCTGACTGGCCGGCTTGCAGTCCGAGTATCGCATCGATGGTGAACGGTTTGCAGGGCCTGGGCGACGACGAACTCAACCCGTCCGACTCGGCGCTGTCACGGCTGGCCGTCCTGGCCGCGGTGATTGCATACGTCTGGAAAGCTCCGACGGCAGCGCCCCGATTGTGCCTGGGATGATGGTGATGATGGTTTTGATTCTGGTGCTGGTGCTGGTGTTGCTGTTGAAACCGGTGTTGCTGTTGGTGCAACTCGAGCAACTGCGACAGAGCTGTGTTGTACTCTTGGAACAGTGGGTTCTGCAACATCATCATCGCTCACGGACACGGAACCGGTCCCGTCGGAGTGTACTGCGCGTGCGGTGTACGTTTTGCGGTTAGGTACGCGAAAAGAAAAACGAAAAACCGATCCAAACAATTAACCGCTGTTTATAACGTGACGCGACGTGTTATCGGGGTGATATGACACCGTACGACAAGGAATATGTGCCGGTCGGTCGGTACCACCGTGAAACTTTTCTGTTTTTCCTTCGGCCTTTATTGTCGCGGGGGAGAGGGGGCGATTATTGCGTTTTATTCGGGATCGGATCGACGAGCGCGCGTGTACTGTCTTGCGTGCGGTACGTCCTACGTGTGCGGGTGGTGCACGTTAACCGGACATGTTGCGCGCGATCAACTGGCCGCCACGACGGCGGCGGCGAGGACGAGGACGACGTGTCCAGGAAAAGACGGCGGCGTCCGCGGGCACCGCCGAACGGGCGTGTACGCGTCGGACTGCCCGCGGGCCACGCCCCCTACCCGTCATCCGGGACAGCGCCATTGGGCGCGCGACGCCGTCGCGTCGCTCCTCGGGCCCCGCGACCCGCCGAAGACCCCCTCCGACGACCGTTTTCCACGTCCCACCCCGCCACCGGGCACCGTCCGGCGTACGAGCGCGGAACGCTTTGACCGCGCGCATGCCCACGACCCGGTCGCGACCACCCCGTCTCGCGCACTGTACCCTCACATATCCGCCGCCCACGTCGTCATCCCCTTACCGCGACGATTGCCCCGTTCTCACCGCTGCGGTTTCGTTCCCCTTGCGTGTTAAATGCACTTTAATGACGCACGCGCGCGCGTACCATCCCCCACCCCACGCGGCCACGGCCCGGCCTGTCAACGCCGCGCGCCCCGAACGCGATTCGCGCTGTGTGCAATCGGTACGATTCGCGCATTTCCATCGAGTGTCATCGGGTGTGTCGTTTCTCCGCTCTGTTTACACCTGGAACGCGTACGCCGAACGTTCCGTTGCTGAACGTTGCTTATGGCGTCAACGCGGTCTTTGATCATAACGTTCATGATGCGACCGTAGTTGTCGGGCATTTTCGAATAGTCGGATCGATATGGTTTGATAGACCAATAATGAACCCATTTCACGTGATCGAAAACGATTAATACGCGCATCGTGTAAACATAGTTTACTCGTACTATATTCCGTAGTACACAAGGTGAATAAAATTCTACAACAAAAATTTAAACCATACTCAAAAGTAAAAAATTATCGTATTTAAATATTTTTTTTTCAACTGCTTATATGTAAACACGTAAATCTGTTATGCCTTTAATGCAACCTAGATTTTATTTATTTATTTATTTATTTAGGTACGGTATTGAAATAAACATTACTAAATTATAGCGGACATAGAATTAACAGTACAAATATGTAAAATGTATTAAAAACAGAGGTTCTCATTTGCTTGTCGCATCGTTCGGTGTATAGCGTGGTTTTGGTCATCATTTTTATTACGTCGAGGAACATAATAGGGAAAAGATATTCTGGAGGATCTGCTAGGAACTAGAAAATTAACCTCTACAAGAAGCTTAGGTGCATCGATAAAGACGTTTACAAGTTTGTTGATAAAGTTGGTTCTTCTATTGGATAGACTACTAAGCTTCAATTGGTGTAAGTAGTTTACTATTGTTATTGTTCTAACATATTTAATTAAAAAAAAAAGTTTGTTTAGAAATGTTATACTCGTATATATATATTTATATTAAAATAATACTGTTAAAAAAATTGTATTTATACTTATCTCTAAATCTATAAATGTTTAATAATAAAAAAAAAGTGGATGTATGTGTATAAACTTTAAAATTGTTAAGGTCATTAGTTAATTCAACATTCTATTACGACAAACCATCTTCATCACGATGACTATTCAGAACACGACAATAATCACGGGATTATTGTGTTTATGTTCTATGAACGGTTTGATTAATTCTTAAACGGAGGTTTCAGTTTTACGTTTGAAAATAAAGATAAAACAATATAGGTATTAAATTTACAGTTAAATCAATCACAACATTTGTTTATTTACTACGCATTACTTTTGATAATCCATTGAACAAGGAATTTACTTCAGTCGTGGTCAATTATTTTACACACAGGTATAAATAAAAACCATGGAAAGTTTATGACACTTTGATCCCTTTCTCTTGAACACTATTAATTGTTCACTGCCTTGATGATATTCGAGTGCAGCGTAAGTATTTGTTTGAAATATAACAAGTCAATTTTAACGTCCGATGCAATAGGTATTTTATAAAACTGTCCATTCCTATTCACTGGCATTTGACTTCACTAATTTTACAATAAAAAAACATATGCAATTTTTGTAAACCCTACAGTAAAAATAATAAATTCTTGTATCTTAAATGTATAAATACTCGTATATCATTATAATTACATAATATTATAATCTTATATTTATTGATTAAATTAAAATAATCAACTGTATAGATAATTTAGCAATTTAGTATTTATTGATCTAAATTAAAATAATCAACTCTATACATTTGAATTTAATTATATTCGATATGGAATTGACTAATTTGGTTCAGGAAAACATTAATTATAACACTATAGTATTTCTCTACCATGCGTTGTGTGAACGCTAACATTTCAGAAATTACTAATTTTGTTAATTGTGTAATCATTTTTTATTCTTTGTAAATAAATTTTTATATATACACACAGTGATTTTTATAAGCTACGTGTTTATATTGAATATTAAAATCAGCTTTACTTCATCTAAATAATTTTATCTTATAGTTCTTTTTTTTTTTTGTAACTCCGAGAGAAAAACGTTACAAATTATTTTTTTAGACGAAAATAAAGTAGGAACATGCCATTTTTATATAATATATTTGATTTTAAATTACAAGTTTTTTTTTTTTTTTTTTAATTATATCTCCGAGATGATTTCCTTCATTGTCGATACATTCGCATAAACGTTTTTTAAAAATTTTCAAACATTTTAGCGAGCATTACTCTTCTAATCAGGCCCGATTCACGAATAATATTCTCCCAAAGCTGTTTCAGAGTCCTCTACTTGTCTGCATACACTTAAGGTAATCCCATAAAAAATAATCACAAGCCGATAAGGCAGGCGATCAAGGCGGCCAAGAAATTTCGTTTTTGCGCGAAATGATTCGATGACGAAAATGTTTACACGATAACAAAACTGTTTCTGTAGTTGAATGACAAGTCCAACTTCCAAATTTGAGTTATCAAAATTTTATAAAGATGAAAATTGAGGTCACCGGATAAAATTTGCTGCAGAGAAGTTGGTTTAATTTTCAAATTTGACGATCGTTTTCGCGTTGATCTGGCAGGGTTAATCTGAACTGATTGTCCTACACGTTCAACAATTTCTGATGTTCTTACAGATATTTTTCGACTATTAGGTCTTTTTTTACAGGCGTGGGCGGTTTCTTCGAAGTTTTTTACCTATAATTTCACCGTTGGTTGGGACGGTACAGCGCTCTTTCCATCAAGTTTAAAATGTTTACGAAACGCGCGAATTGTACGAACGTATAAGTAATTTTTTAAACGTATTTACAATAATAGCGCGCTGCTCAGGCATAGCTGCTCCATGACGAAAAACAATTACTGGAGCAAAATTCTGTTAGGCTACCTGAAACCGCGTTTGTCATTTCCCTCCATCCTGTCCGAACCGAAATCAGTGTAACGAAAATGTGATAGATTTTTATGGGCCTCTGTATTTTACGAATGGAAATATTTTTTAATAGTGAAATTAATACGTCGAAACATTAATCAAAATATTAAAACCATAATAGATTATTTTGTAAATAATATATTCAGAACTATTGAATGATAGAAAATTAATTGTATACTACTTTTAATTTTAATTTTAGTAGAATTCTGTACTTGTTTAGCTAAACGATACTACAATAATACTTAACTTTAATATAAAAAAAAATAAGTGAAATGTCTTTCCGAAACCATTACTTTCGGTAAATTAAATCATATAGTATGAATAGAGTGATAATAGTTTTAAGACCATGTAATAGTTTAATATTTTACTTTAAAAGTTTAAACAAAACTTGTATAAACAATAAACATACTTGGAATGTATGGTTGTAGAATGTCTAAGAATAATAACTTTTTTTTTTTTTGTATACATTTGTAAACTCTTTTGTTGTATAATGTAACACGTATAATATTTATAGCTTTTCATTACCTTAAAGGAAGACGTATATTTTGTGTTATTTATTTTCTCAAATGTTGTCCAAACACACCCCGGCTTTCAGGTATGTTTTCAATTACATAATTCATTTAATTCCTATTGTATTTCACGGGACCTAATCCAGATCGAATCAAAACGGTGCGTTGTAATTACTGACGAAAGTATGAAATAGTAATACATTTATATGCGCTGTAACGCGTATCTGTGTATAATAATAAGTTTATATTGCACGTACAAAGGTATGTATGAATAAATGTTATTATTATTTTTTATACTCCACCGCGCGTTGTAGGTACTTATCTCTAGAGGATTTTAATTTTTTTTTTTTATCCATCCGAAAATAATAATTGGGGTGTCACGTATGACGTGCCTACACGTATATACACCTTTATACATCACACACGATGGTTTACGTGCTGGCGTGCGTGCAGTTGACGCGCAGAGCACATTGATGCGCTTTCACCGGAAAATTGTCATTTAAATTCCACACCGTGAACACAATAAATGCTGTTTTTTGTCCCCTTTCCACATCCCGCTTCTGTTCTCGTACGTCAAATTTCCCAGTGGTAAGTCGTCGAGGTCTCGTGGAGCCCACCGCGCGCGGACGAGGCTTATCCCTCGCGGTCCGACGGCTCCGAATTAAAAGTCAATTTCGGCGCGCGGCAAATCAGCGTGCGACACCCCAAACACCGCAGGGCGGGCCCCCTGTTCGGTCCGCTGCAGTAGTCGTGCAAACCACCACCGGTCCGCGTTATACTATCCCCTCGCACGTTATATTGTATAACATAAATACAATGTTAAGTAAACTGCTGCTGCGACGGGTAGGCGCATACCGCGTGCGTGGCGTGTTTGTACACGCACGTAATCTCGCCTTTGTCAGAACGCCAGTTCAGTTTTGACGGTGTGCAGTCGACCGAATTTTGACCTGGACACAATAACAGTTATAGCACGGCTTCAACCGGTATCCTCCTGGTCCATCATCTCGTCGTCGACGATGTCATATTATTATTATTATTATTATTATTATTATTATAACGTGTTAGTTGATTATCGCAACGAATTCGATTCCCAGACCGACCGGTTTTCGATATTATTTATTATTTTTTTCCTAGCAATTTTCCACGTCGCCGGGATCGTAAAAATGAATCGCTTCATTTCGCCAATCAAACACGTACCATCCCGACATTATCAC